GCCGTCTAAGAAAGAGTCCTTACCTGAAATGGAAGCAACTGCTGTTGATGATGATGAGGAAGATGTTGAAGATGATGATGATATCATTAGCTCCTCTAGTCCTGGCTCAGTCAGCAGTAACTCTTTGGTTCAGCAGCCTTCTACACCCAAGGCAGCAACCTCTGAAGGTTCAGGCGTACAGAAAAAACAAGTCGTTACATTTGCACGAGAGCCGTCTTCTAAACCCGGAGAATTCAAAATAAAAATCTCAGATGTTCTTACTGGAAACAACAAGGAATTTACTGCAGGTATAGCATCAAAACATGTGGCGGAAGGGCAGAAAATCATAACCTTGGATACAGCCACTGAAATAGAAGGCTTATCCACAGGTTGTAAGGTTTATGCAAATATTGGTGAGGATACATATGACATAGTCATTCCTGTGAAGGATGATCCTGAGGAAGGAGAGGCCAAACTCGATGAAACGCCTAGAACATCCGGTGATGATTCTCCAAGCAGGAAACGCATGAAAGTAAAGCATGATGACCATTACGAGCTCATAGTGGACGGGAGGGTCTACTACATTTGCATTGTATGTAAGAGATCCTATGTATGTCTGACAAGTTTACGGAGACATTTTAACGTTCATTCGTGGGAGAAGAAGTATCCGTGTCGATACTGTGACAAAGTTTTCCCTCTGGCAGAATACCGTACAAAGCATGAAATTCACCACACTGGTGAGCGAAGGTACCAGTGCTTGACGTGTGGCAAATCTTTCATCAACTACCAAGTTATGGCCTCACACATAAGATCAGTTCACAGTCAAGACCCTTCTGGAGATGCCAAGCTTTACCGTTTGCATCCTTGCAGGTCTCTGCAGATCAGACAATATGCATATATTACTGATCGTTCAAGCAGTATACCTGTAATAAACGAGGATGGAATTGTTTATCATGTTGACACAGGAAAGGATGGTGCTGAAGGAACGACATCTAATCCTCCAGCCAAACAAATGACCTGGGATGATATTTTCATTCCGCAGGGAAATGAAGCAATTTTTAAACAAAATCCATCGGAGGGAAGTACTGAATTTGAATTTGTAATACCAGAGTCTTACTGAAGTGCATTAAATGCTGGGGGGAAAAAAGCTTCAGTACAGAAAAATTGCAGCTGTTTTCAATGAACTGTTAAAATCATTGTAAAACAAATTGTTAAAGTGAAAATAAGTTAACTTGTTCTGCCAAGCCATCAAATGGTAATACTTAGATGGATTAGCTGCAAGTAATTTGTAGAAGTGATTCATCTGAAAGTTTACTTGAATGCAGAGTAAGACATTTCCAAGGAGCTGGCAGTGTTTTCTAGTACATTAATTTTGATCAAAACATGGGGCTTTGTAGCTTGAAAAGGTACAGTTTCTTCTAAAGAACTAGAAAAAAAGGCTTCTAAAGTAATTGAGGTATTTCCTGTACCCACATTTATTACGTAAACCCTTTCTTTCATGTTAGCACTTTAATGCTTAATTGTGTTTAGACGTTAACCAAGACAACAATAAGATTTTTCACCATAGTCTCTTGAATATGGAACCAGTTTTAAGAAATCCCACAACTCATGTTATTTCTGTGAACAATGCTTTACTGTAAGGGTCCAAAATAACTGATCCAATAGTTTGGAGTAGTGTATATTCATACTAGCGTCTTCGTTCTGCTTTTATTATCAATATGAATCAATCAGTTATCTTCATACAAATATTCTCGCCAACAAGAAATACTCAGTTTGGGCTGACTTGAACAAACCTTATTTATATTTGGCAGTATGGTGAGCAGAGAGTATTCAGTGGCTGGGCCATTATATTTTATTCTTTTTGCAAAGGGTGGGGGGGAAACTTGAGCATTATAGTGAAGAAGTTGAGAACGTTTAGGAAGGAGATAATTTTGCATTTTAAAATCTTGGGGAATCATGTTAAGTTTTCTTACTGCTGGAAAATATACCTGCAATTTGGAATAAGTCACTATTCCTTCTTTGCTCTTTATGGAGAAATGCTTCAATCTGGTATTTAAAAATAATCCTTATGATACTTTTTCTAGCTGAAGAGTTTGATATTTACTTCCTTAAACTGAGAAATAATGGAAGTGCTGTATCAGCTCAGCACTGAGACTGCTGTGGCTCTTTTATGCCTATTTAGCTAGATCTTTAAGTGAAACAGGAATTTGGATTTTTCTTCCCCCATTTAAAGGGGGCGCAATCATGAAGACTAAACCTACCATCAAAAAATAACCCCCCCCCCCCGTAATATATGGTATGATTTATCTATAGCTTCCATAGCAGAGACATCTATTTTCAGTTTATTATATTGCCCCTTTTTACTTCTTGCAATTGGTACATGTTTAGACACTTAGAAAATAGTTAGTAAAAGTCCAACTTGAACAAGAAACAGTAAATATGAGGAAAAATCCCCAGCTATTCACTGGAGTCATAGTTTAGCATTTCAGATTTAGTGACTTGTTGAATTTTTGTAAATGGTAATATGAAAATTGCACAGAAGTTTTAGAGATGACTGAGAACGATTGTTGTGCATAGTACTAGTTAGTTATCGGTAACCTTTCATTACTTAAATTGCAGTTAAAGGTTTTTCTCCTCTTTTCATGTTTTCAGTAAACATCTTAATCCTATGACCTTCAATCTTAAGGTTGTAGGCAGCCAGTATTCTTGACAGAAATTAAATGGTATTTAAATGGTAAATGATTCAAACGTAGCTTGAGCTATAAACAAGGGTACCAGAGATCGAATTTGTCATGATGGGAGGAGGAAGGGGAGAATTTGTTTACCTTCTACATGTAATACTCAGCACTTCGTTTTTGTAGGCAAAGAATATGATATACGTGGTTATTTTCAGATCATGTTGCAAACTGCTTTGAATATAAAGGGGTATGCTTTCAAATGTTACAGGTTGGCTGTTGGCGGAGATGGCGTTTCAGCACTTAACGTTAAGTCTCACAAGGAATAAATAGTGATTGCCTGCATTAGCGCAGGTTGCTATGACTTAACTAGTTGCGTGCTACCTAGAAACTTCTTGGACTTTTTGTCATGAAAAACACAAGGTTATTTTGTTACTGACATTGTGACACATCTGGAATTAAGCATACATTGCAAAATATATGTTTATTAAAAAAAGAAAAATAACAGCTATCAATATTTGCTGCTGATATATTTAAAACCTTAAATTAAACTGTGCCTACTAAAGGTCTCTTTTTGGAGGAAAACTGGAAAAATTAGGGCTTTGTAACTGTATCTTTGCTAGAAGACTCGTGCTTGCATGTGTCTCAGGGTCTTCAGTTTTCCTTGGAAGTGATTTTTGAGATCCAGAGTCCAGAGATCACGTAAAGCATTTTTTTTAATGTCACCGCCAATATTTATTGAGTTGGAAACATGTTATATCCCTTCTTTTTAAACTTTTTATGGGGCCATGAGCTTTTGTATTTAGATTTCTGGCTATTGCACTTATAGTTGTTTTTTGTTTTTGTAAACATTTAACTTCTAGTTTAACTTAATGATAATTCTTATGTAAATATTAAGAAATTGGCTTTGGGGCAATGGGAAAAAAAAAAAAAAAAGATTGAATCCAAAAAAGCAATGATCTAAAAATTAAAAATTTCAACAAAGATTGGTAGCAAAGCTAACAGTCATTTATATACATATGAAAACATTACCTGATCTGCTACAAAACATATGAATGATGGCTGCATCCTCACGGTATGGTTTCTTTTGAGATTCATACCATAGCATTCCAGTATATGAATGAAACAAAATCTTGAGATAACAAAATTGATAGATTACTTATTTATTTTGTACTGTTAAGGCATGCAGCATATAAAAAGATGCAAAAGCTGACAACTGTATACATTGAACATTGGGTTTACAGCTGTTACCTATGAACGGTTCTGTGTGAAACACTGATCGCTTTTACCAGGTCTGTAATGTATATACTTGTACAGTCTTTCCTTAACACACTTTTTAAAGTTGTGTTCTACTTTTCATTAATAAATACTTGATATTAGTTCTTAGAGCTTTCTATGGCAAAAATAAAAGGTTTAATTCTAAAGATGTGTAGCAAGTTTCTTTTCAATGGCAGTAAACTTTTACAGTCCGAGACATGTCGGATGACCAGGAGTTTGTAGATTCCTTCTCCCGGTCTATTCAAAATAGCAGCAGACTCTGAAGTTAGGTATTTTTTGCAGCTGAGCGGTTTTTTTTTCCCCAAGAAGTGAATTAACTGGAAATCTCCACTGCATAAAGTGAACTGAGTTTTGTGACATCAGCTTACTCTCAAATTAGTTGGAGCTGCTGTGGAGTAGTCTGTCCAACCACTAATGGGCTTGCAAATGGCCTTGAAATCAAGAATAACATATATAGCGACCAGTGTACAGTATTCCTCTAACTCATTGTTAGGGTTCATATTCTCAATTGGTTGGTAACTGGTTATGCTTAAATTGTGTTGAACCTTGACTAACATGGAGAAACTTAGTTACTTCTGATTATAGGTAGGGAAGACAATTTAATGAGTAACATATACAAATGATATTTTGGATATGTTTACGCTCCCTGGCATAGGGCTTCCACCTACTTCTGCTAACATCAAATAGCAGTTGAAGTGATCACGACATAAATGCGCCCAAAGTAATCCAGTGAACGTGAAAGTAAGCAAATGAGACACTGCACTGGCTGGATTATTTAGCCCTGCGTTAAGCAGAAATTGAGCAGTAAAAACTTTGCAGTAGCAATACCGAATGAAGAAAACCGTGAGATTTTAAATCCTGTGGTTGTGGTTGAAGCAGGGTATTGTTGTGACGGAGTAGCACTCGATGAACAGCCTGACTGAAGTCAGGGTGCCCCCCGCTGTGGGAAAACTGCAGAACGATGAAGTGGGGAAGGCATCTGGGGCTTTGTAAAATCCAACTTATAAAATATCGTCTCTGTAACATTTCCTAGTAGAAGGACTGGTTTCCAATATAGCAAATAGAGCTTTTGTTTGTTTGTTTTTAATGCATGCCATTGTTACATTGAAATTCCTCAACTGCCATTAAAAATGATTGTAAAACACAGGAAAGTTGCTAAAATGTAAAATGCAATGTGTAAATGTTTACAAAAATTCACACGATTTTATTCAACTTTGGTAAAGTAATAAAAGGGTACATATGAGTCACAATCTTTACATTCTCATAAGAAATGATGGATACAGTGCAGAATATTGTATTTACACTAAACGCTTACTTTTACTCAAGCAGAAGGAAACAGGTCGTTGATCAGAAAATCCCACTGGTATTATTTTAAATGTAAAAATGGAACTGTCCTTTGATAGTGAATTTAAAGCAGCAATGTAATTTTTGCTTACAGATTCCTTAGAATGCCTTAGACCAGGTTCATTAGGGGGAAAAAAAATTTTTGGATCATTTCCTAAGGTTAGTATTCCTGTCAAGTCAAAAACAATGGCAAAACCATTTCCTTATTATTTCCCTGCCACTAAGTTAAGCTCCCCTCAGGAATCCTACTCGGTTTCCTAGCAATATACTTTAAGTCCCGTCTTGTAGTGTCCCCTAGTCCTTCTAGCCCTATTTAGTAGACAGGCACAAATGGCATAGTATATGTTTGTCAGGAGTGGGACACAACTGTTACTTCAAAGATGTAGCAATAAAAGACTTGTTGTTACTAAGGAATTAATGTGCCCTTCAAATTCTAGTTTTTGTGGGGAGTTTTATCGAGAAGTATTGCCTATTTTATTTATCAAGAAAAGTATCGCCAGCTGTAAACTGCACACAATCTTCTTAACACCATGTCATTCAGGCAAACGCAGTGTACAAGGGACAAAGCCCCAGCATGTTAATTTCTTTCCAGTACTCGAACTTATAGGTGCTGCACTTCAACAATCAACAAAACAAATCAACGGTAAAAATGTTACCAGGGTATGTTCTGCATACACTACTGCTTTAAATCCTGTGAGCTGTATTACTTTCTCCAGTCATTTATTTGTCTTCATTGTTGGAGAAACGTTATTCATTTGCTTCTGGATAAATAGTGTCATCCTTTAGTTTATTAATGCACTGACTTGTCTTTGACAGTGGAATGATAAGGTTAACACATAACAAAGGCTCTACAAATGCATAGGACTAAAAACAGCATTATAAAGTGTGGCTGTACCTTGCAAAGTGAAATCAGGGACTTCAGTGCTTATTTTCCATTCTGACAGAATCTCAAATTTGTGAGGATTACAAGTACAGAGATATCGCAGTTCAAAATCCAGCTGTTTTTTCCTACCATGTATACCATGTTTCGATTCTGGAAGCCAGACTTAGCTCTTAGGTACCTTTTTGTCTGTATCAGGGTTGAATGTAAATATAGACGATTTAGGATTAGGGTCAACAATCCGATGCAAAGGAAATCAAATCTTTTGGAAATAAGGAGTAGAACGCCAATACCTTACTTTTATCCCTGAAGTAAGCAGAGTTGAGACTGCTCAGGCTGAGCAGCTCAGATCTGAAAGCTGTCATCTGAAATCACCTCCTGGAGTAGCACCACACTTTACAGAACAGTGTCACATAACAAAGCTGACCTCCTTTTGTTATGCAGGATGCATGCAAAATCTGTTGGAATCTAGACCCATCAGCACAGTCATCAGCTGAAGATTAAATGAAAGTCACAACAATAATTGCAAAGTCTTATCAGCTTCATCCTACATTACATGGTGTTGAATTTTATCCATGTGAGACTTACATCCTGTGGAGAGCTAGTAGTGGGAATTCCCTATGTGCAGCCCATAATATAGATACTAAAACAGTGCTTATTCAGGATGCTGATTCAATCCATTAAAAAAGTTAAAAGTACAATCTTAAAAAAAATTCCCAACCAAATAGAAGGAAAAAAAAGTGTTTTCACTGCATTGCGTTTCAGTGACCTGTGCACAGTTCCTGATGCTCTTTATAGCAATACAAGGAAAATTCAGGCAGTGCAACCACCCAAACTGTTTGCCTTCAGCATTATTCCTATGGAAATTCTGAGACAGACAACTGCATTTCACCTCCTATTTTAAGAAGCATCCTGAAATAAACCAGATTGCCTATTAATGTTTACCCCTCAAAAAAGCAATATTCATACTGTCCTGCTATGATACACATGAAAATATCCCATGACGTTACCTCTTTCCATCAGTTACAGTGCTACAGCTTGAGAAACTGTCCTGGCTCCTCACTAGAACTTCCTTGCGCACGTGCATAGCCTGTAACCAACAAGTGCCGTGAGCTAGGTCCTGCAGCCCCGCGATATCCCAACAACTTGAAGCCAAAGGTCACATGAAACAAGCATCAAGTTGAGCTGTCTGCAAGCACCCTCACCTTAAGCAGGGCAACTATTGATCTTGGCTACCCTTACCTCAGCTTGGCTCAAGATGGAGTAAGGCAGACCAGAATATATCATGTGCGTTGGATCACTTTATTAAAAAACGAGGACTACGAGAACCTCGCTGTAAAACACAGAGGCTGGAATTTAGGTCACTTGCTACTCGCCGACACTGAAACATCAGCAGTATGTCTCCTTCCCCATACCCAGCTGTTAAACCTCTAAAATAAGTCTTGCAAGAAAGAACACTCCAATCTGGTACTCTTATTTGCAATTATCTTCTGTATCTATCCTCCCGCTCCCTCCCACAGTAAAATATAAATACAGAATGTTCACAATTATTTCAACGGCAAATTTTTCCTTCTTCCTTTCCCCATTCTTTACGGTGTGTAAGGTGGCGGCTTTTCAAAAGGTGGAAAATATGGCGGTGAATAACGAGGAGGTGCATTAGAGGACCACATATAGCTGGGAGACGGTGACACTGACTGGGGCTCATCTGAAAGGCCGGAAGGAGTGGAAGCTGGAAACACACTGGAATGCTGCAGGGAGAAAGCAAGATGACTGTTGTCAACATCGCATTTGGAGAAAAGCCTTAAAAGCATTACGCTCAATTCTGGAAAACATGTGCACATACAAATAAATAGACAAATCACTTGCTGCATTCAAGGTAAGCACAGGCTGTAAGTAACAGTTTTGCGTAGGATTCCTTAGACTTCTGCTGTTTACCTGCTGCATTTCAGAGAGGCTGGACAACTGAATACAGGTTAGTTTCACGTCTTGGGTTTCACACATCAGCCAGTGGCAACAATGATTAGGCTGTAAATAATTTCTTTTTGTACTACCTTTTCTCTTTATCATTCATTTAAAAAAAAAAAAAGCAGAAATTAATGACAATAAAATAATTTCTTCCTTCAGTTAGCAAAAAGCTTCAAAAGGTGGAGAAACGAAATCTGTGCATGCCTAAAAATTAATGTCTGCTCTCCACAATATCTTTGTTATCAAAAATACATTAGGTCTAAAGTCTTAAGTCATATGATGCCAGCACTATCACAAACCTGTGAATACGTTGTATCGTCCAGAAACAGGCCAGACAAGTGAATTCCGCATAGGTAAGGACACACAGTCTCATTCACTTGCACTCACTCCTCTGGCCACCATAGCCATATTTTTATTCCCGACAATCATATTCCTAAGCCGTGCCGTGCGTTACCCGCTTTGCCATCTGGCCCAGCCTAACAGGCCGCTTGTAGAACAGCGTCTGGAAGGTGTTCGGTCACACTGTCAACATACTGCATTACTGAAACAGAGCACATTACTGCTTTGGCGTTTAGGCAGTAAGCACCTTTTGGCCACCCCGAGATCGGCTCGTTTCTTACGCTGCGGGCACGGGCTGCAAATCCAGAACGTGCCCAGCATAAAGCCCTGACAGAACACAACCGCGAGGAGGATTTGCACTGCGCCGCCGAGGGCGTGGGAGCAGTATGCTGAAGGATCAGTGCTGCAGCAGGGCATTCACACGCAGCGAGGCTGAGCTGCAAACAACACAGGGGACAGGAGGTGACTATACGATTTTGTCTTGGGGGGATGGGAGGGACAACTGATTCTGCATTAGCAACAGACTGTTTTCCAACAATATCTTTTTTTAAAATAGTATGTCACTTCCCTAAAGCTGATCTGTTACAGTTTATTAAGCAGATACCTAATCAATGGAAGCCTAGCTTGGTCATCTAGGAGTCTAACAGAAAGCCTTAGAAACTGTTCCTCGTTCTCATTTAGATAACAATAGCTTTCCCTCACTCCCCAATTCATGTCAAGCCCAATCGCTGGGAGCCCCCAGACAGCAAAGACATTTGGAACGATATCGCTGCAGCGGGTGCAGCTTTTGATACCCGTTAGTGAACGTAACCTTGGGTTTTAAACATTACAAAGCATCTGTGTGCTGCTGCCTAGCAACAGCCATGAGCCTGGGAGGAGAGCTGGCTTTGTTGCAGCTGTAGAGCAGGCCTGACTTGTTCTGGCTTCAGATGGCAGCCTGGTTTTATTAATGAAGCTGGCCACGGGAAAGACCGCACTCGAATTCTTCTCTTACGAAAGGGAATAAAAAGCAGAACAGGCCACTGCTGTGACGAAATAAGCCACTCATCTGTATTCATTTTTCAGTGCCAAACTTGGCTCACTACCTGCAGAAGTCAAAATGCCCAAGGACTGAAACTTTCTCAGCTGACTGTCCCCCGGCCACCAAACCATGCACACAGAGCGAGAAATAATAAGCAGGCTGCTACTTTCACCAGAACCGCCTGCCACATCCCTGTCTAGGCCCATCACAAAGGCTTGCTGCCTTTGTCACCACAAACGGCTCTGTTCAGCGGGGTGGCGCGTCATTAGCCACGAGTGCAAACACTAGCCGTGTCCGAGTCTTTTGCCAACACCAGTCAGCTCGTGTGCCCCCAAAACCAGAGAGTTGGTTCTGCCATTTTGAAGCTGTGTGAAAGGAGAGATTTTGCACAAGCACAAATATTCCTAGAAATTCTTGGATTTTTTTCCCCCCTTTCCTGGGACAGATAGGTGGACTGCCTGGGCAGCAGTGCTAAGTGGCTAAGTTCTTGCAAGAGGGAATGCAACCTTTGAAAGGAATTTGAGAAGCAAGGTTGGTCCCACTCAATTTGACACGGGGAGCAGCATGGGAGAAGGTGTCAAGATGGTTCAGACACTACTCAGATCACAGAGTAAGGCCTGAGAGAAGAGAAGGAGTTTCCACACCAGAGGTGTCAGCGTCAGGGCCCAGAGCACAACCCTCTCTAGGAGTTTAGCTGGCTCTGTCCAAGGTCAGCTCCTTTGCTGATAAGAGCTGTTGTGCAGAGAGCTAGATGTGAGGGCTGGTGTTCCTTGCCCTTGGGAACCGCTTTTACGTTCCAGCTTTACTGACCCCCACCTGTGCTAATTGGCAGGGAGCAGCAAGGCCCAGCTGCTCCACAAGGGAAGGTGAGCTGGGAGCGGAGCACGATAAGGCAGGTGTGAGCACCAACCTCGACAACAAGGAGCCGGGACACAGAGCGGCAAGTCTGCGTCCAGATCAGGGCCACAGTCTGTAGTCAGGGTCAGACACGGCCCACTGATCGGCCAGCAAGCTCATAGTGATGAGGTACGTCTGAGGTCAGGCCAGGAAGCCAACCTGGCGGGTCTGGGTCTGGGTCTGGGTCCAGGTCAGACTCATGGAGGCAGGTGCAGACGTAGCTGCTGCACAGCTGCAGCGTAGCACACACCAAGACCAGCACTAAGGCCTCAGCTTAAAAGCAGTTCCCAAGAGCAAGGAAAGGCAGGCTCTTGCTTCTACTTTTCTTCACAACAGCAAAGGAGCTGCCCTTGGACTCAGGCAGCTACACCCTGTAACCTAGCCAACTCAACTCGGAGATGGGGGGCGCTCTCTGTGCCCTGACACTCAGTTAACGCTTTCATGCAGGCCCTCTTGTTTCTTGGATAATCAGCAGGGCTCAGGCTTCGACTGGCTTTTGAAGCAGCCAATTCTCACTTTCAAACTTTGATTACCTTACGCTAGGCCCAGCTTTTGTGCCAGCAACTAAACCAAAACGTGTGTGTTACCACTGCAGTGAGACACAGAGACTCAACTACCTTCCATCTGGCCAGCTGAGATATAAGCACCAGGAGACCCCTAGTTGTCCTTTTAGTTGAAAAGCAGGGCAAATCCACCCATGCTGAGCTCTCTGCTGGTTTGGCTGCAGTACAGACAAACCCAGAGTTAAACAGGACTTACTATCAGCTGAGTGTCTGACAAGAGAGCTCAGCAGTAGAGCTTGCTTTGCTATACGCTATGGTTGGCACCCTTATAACTGTGGAAAGTTATACAACACAGTTGACAGTCCCAGGCTGCACTAATATCAAAGATGGGTCACAAATCTGTACAAACAAGTTCTAGATATTCTGATGTTGGAAATGTTCAAACATTTCCAGGAGGCCCTGACAACAGAGTTGTCCTGTGGCACTACCAGTAACGACAGAAAGGTTTAGATCCAAGTTACCACTAGGCATGGCTCTGAGGAAGGAGGTTATTAGCGTCTGTCTCTGTGGCTATTAGAGACCACATCTCTTAGCTGATGTCCAAGAGCTTAAGCATTTGTTAATTAAAAACATCTCCAGTCACGATGGTTGCAAAGAAAACGTATGATGTGTTAAATCAGTGTTACCACCACGACAGAAGAACTGAGGTGGGAACTCCCCATCTGCTTCAAAAAGGGAAAACTCAGAAGCCGACAGCAAAATTCAAACACCACCACTGTTTCTAACTGTACTGCTTCATAATTCAGATGCGAAAGGGCTGCATTACAAGGTTGAGGTGAAGTTTGCAGGGAGCAACTGGATCTTTTCTTAGGCCAGCTGAAGTGTGTGTGGGGGAAAAAAAAACAGAACTTTTCAGTCACATAGATGTCTTCAGAAACTCAAAGAGCTTGTTCCCAAAAGCTTATCTGTCTCTCAGGCACAGCAGTTGGTCTTATAAAAACGAGTACCTGAACATCTTGCTTTGCCTCTACCCTCAGAGTGTCATGGTTGTCACAGGCACTGCCTATTTTTAATGTGGCCTCTCCCAGTGAACGGCAAGGGAGGCAAGGGAGTAGCATGTTCTGTTGCCTTCTCTTAGAGAGGGGCTCTCAGAAACACACTGTCTTGGTAAGAAGGAACGCAGCCAAGGATCAGTGGCTAGCAGGAAAGATTTGGTATTCTCTGCATGAACAGAAAAATTAAGCTATGTAAACGACACGGGAAGTTAGCCCTCCAGAATTTGCAGACTGGGCTACGTTTAACCCTGTAGCTAAGTAAGAAAACATCCTGTATTGTTCCGTACCTGGAAGTCATAAGCGGAGTAGGGAGGCAAATGAGGAGTGCTGTGGTAGTAGGTGTTGTAAGATGTCACCTGTGGCCTTGAATAATAAGATACTGAAGGATGCGCATTTTCAACTGTACAGTTCAGCGTAGGGAGGGAGGGAGTCTGTTAAAACAAAAAGAGAATCTCAGGCTGCTAACCAGAACCTCTTCAGAGTCACAGAAAACTGAGAGCTGAACGAAAGCAGAAATGATTTAATGGAGCAGAGCGTATCTTTAGGGCCCAGTTCTGCTGAACTAACAACTGGCAATCCAGTTTCGTCTTAGGCAGCAGGCAAGTCTCGCGGTCATTTCATTCTTTAGCCATCCACTGTCTCCTTCTAGATTCACCAGAACAAGCCTGGCAATAGCCCAGTGCATGCTAGTACTGAGGCAAAATGACTGTTTAGAATGAATTTTCACAAATAGCAGAAAGAAACCATTAATTTTGATTACTTTTATTTACTGAATTTTGAGATCAGCATATTTCAACTCCTCTTGTACACAGACACTTCTGTGCATCTTTTTTGCAGTTTTATAGCCTGTCTGGTGTGGACCAAATCTCAAAAGACCACAATATACAGCTGGGGACGTGCCTCGTATTTTGTTTGGGAAGATTCTGGTGGGTTTGAAAAAAAGTGTAGGAAAGTTCATAATTCTAAAATAAGGCACATTTGCCAAAGAGCCCAAGATTTAGTTGCAACAAAAATATATTGTCAGGATAACATATGCTCTTTTCTGGGCATCTTATTTCTTATTATTCCAAATCAGTCAGAAGGGACTGACTGAAAACCCAAAATTCATCTACTGAACGTTCAGTTTCCCCCTTGATTTGTCCTCTGCCGAACACAAAACGTATAGAAGGTAACAAGGAGTCTGCCTGAGCGAGGGTATTTCAAAACTCACACTGTCAGAACAGCATTTCTTTCATCATTTGAAGCTTGAAATCTCTTACCTGGCTCCAGCCCGCAGTTCAGTTTCTCAAATTTTGCACCATAAGGAAACTAGACAGAAAGTTTCAGCCAAATAGGGCTGTGTAAGCATACTGTAAAACGCAGAACTCTACCACTGCTATAAAATCATCAACTCATGAGCACCCATCACTGCCAGACATTTTCTTTCAGAAGGTCAATGCCATGAAAAGAAAGATCAGTTTTTAAGAAACAGCTCATTTTTATTCCTGGTATTGCCAACACTTCTGAGAAGATTCATTTTGAAAATGCAATTTCCCATTTCTCTTCATCTTTTCTAATTGCGTTCAGGTGGTGACACCAGATCAGAAAACTGAATCATTTTCACTTTCTCCTTACAGTTATTTCATGCCCTTCTTCCTGGCCTGACTGCAGTGACGCGTAAGTGATTGTCTTTGAAATAGCTGTTCTAGCTGTTGTCATGATTATTTTTAAGAAACAATTTGCCCCATTTGTTTCCTTTAATGTATAGGGAAACTGGTACCATCTTACCATGTCTTTAAAGCCTCCAAGTATCGCTGCTGTAATGATCCCTAGGAACAGCCCAACTATGTTCAAAATTGTTGCGGACCAAAGCAAGTGGTAAAGGTGGATGATGTCCTGGCAGCTGCTGACATCAATATATTCATAGTAGCCTCCAGAGATCTCTACTCTGCTGGATTAAGAAATAGTAACAGTAAAAAAAATGCACCAGGCAGTAAAATCTAAGCAATTCTACTGGACAGTAAAACGCATTCTGCAATTTACTGATAGCCTGGACCTAACTTCTGAGGGAAACGGGTTAAAGCCTGCTAAGATTCCATCCTTGAGGCATCTGAGATCTCCCTGCGTGACAGTGGTAGAAGAGACTTGGCTTGATTCACAAAACAAACAAGTCCTGCAAGCCCTCCAAATGCCAAAATGCCCTTGAGTCTGAATCTGCTTCTTATTTCTATCATCTGAAATCTCCTCAGAGCCAGACCTTCACCTCAGAGGCTTCCCAAGCGTTTTATAACCAGTCCTGGAGTCACCCAGGGAAATCAGTCCACATCCTGAGGAACGGCAGTTGTCCCTGAAGGGCACAACACCAGCAGCTTCTTGCAGTGACAAGAGCAGCTGGGTGGGACAAGAGCACAGGACAGCACAGCTGGCCTCCTGGAAGGGCAGGGCCTGGCCACGAAACATGGCTTTCTTGGCCCTCCCTGCTCCAGGTACCCACCCTTTGCAACTCTATAATGGCATGAGCTGGCAGGACCCTTGGGACCCTGGCTGAGGTCCTTCTGCTAACATTTTAAAGCTTTTCCGTATGTATAAAAGAGACAGAGAAAACTCAGTTGAATCGTATTTAGGAATGAATCATTATTTTGGAATAGGGAGAGTAGCTCTTGCCAACATGTGGGCCAGAGTCTGACACGCTGGATTCTTCAGTAATGACTTCTCTCTGATTGCCACTTGGGGGAACAGACTGGCTTTTGGCGTAGCATACCAGATGAAGTGGACTACAGCAAAAAACCCTCAAGAAAACACACATCTCAGGAGCAAACAATTCTAAGGGCTTATGAATGACTTATCTCCCAGTTCACATTTGGGGTGAGGCTCAAACCACACAAGGCCTTTGAAAAAACTAAGAAGAACTGGCTCATATTTAAGGTCAAGAAGCAGGAGCCTGGAAACCAAAAGATCCAGGCTCAGCTCCCCAGCAGACTCCCTGTAAGGCCTGCACGAACCTGCACCCTTTCACCTGCAACCCTAAGTTAAGCTAAGCTTAGGCACCCTTTCACAAGGGCCATTCTCCTTCCCTCATTACTAAATTTGAGTTTCTTCTTCCTTTTTTTTGTTTTTTTTTTTTTTGTATCATTTGTGTGGCACCAGGCAAGATTAAGATCGTAACAACTGATGCAAGAGAAGGCAAAATGAGTCAGAGGCAGGACCCTGAACCAATCTGATTTAAAAAAGAACGACGATACGGAACAATTACAAGCATTTCTACTCCTGTGACTTCTCTATGCATTATTCCTTCCAGTTAGTAAATAGAAAAGTGTTCGGTAAACTGTCCAAGGACTGTATGAGTTTCACCCCTCTGCAGTGGTTAGTGCAGAAACAAAGTCCTACAGGCCAGAGATCAGGGATTACCCTTCCCAACACACCAAACCACCCTGCCCCAGCAGCATTCTTTGATCTAGCCTCCGCCACAGTCAGTGATGTAAGTGGGGGCCAGCCCAACTAAGTACCATCAGAGATATTAAGGCTTAAACAGCCCTAGGCAAGAGACAGCACTAAGAAAAATCAATTCACTGCTGCCAAAAATCAATTGGCTGCTGACACACATTAGACACTTCAAACGACATGCTGCAGTGCATGCTCTAAGTTAAGCTAAGCTTAGGCACATTAGCCAGATTTAATGATAGTATGATCACCATGCTGTAGTGTTCTACTGGTAACTACCCTCCTGACTCATCTCTGTAAAGTGCCGATACGCTTTTCAGCCTTTTGTGACCACGAAAAGATGTTCACCGGGCAGAGACGAAACTGATTATGAGCATGCAGGTGGCCCTAGCCTCGGAACTTTCCTCCCTGCTACTAGGGGTGCAGGACGAAATAGCAATGAAGAAGAGTATCCCAGTTTTTATACCTTCAGTCTTCTGCAACAAAATAAAACCCAATGAAATAGTGGTGCCAACAGAGAAGGAAGTGCCAGAACTCCTGTCCTCTTCAGTTTTCCAGCTGGGCTGGCTCGTAGCATGCTCACATGTAGTTGGGGTGACTTCAGCGTATTTCATAGACCTCTTTACTCTTACTTGCTCACTCTTTCACTGGGAGTCTTGCGGCAAGCAACCACAATGTAATTCCTCTTCCTACAACAGCTGGCATTAACAAATACTTTGTTCAGGCCTTATCCTGGCCATTCAAACACCAGTAAACCAGCATGACCAGTGCTTGCTCTTCCCATGGCCAGGAATGGTATTTTTAGCTTACTCACTTTCCACAGTTGTACAGGTCACAGCAGAAGCAGGTGTTGGTTTTTATTTTGGGTGTGCAGGGTGCACGGCGTTGTGGGTGACAGATTGCCTGTGTGAATTCAGAAGAAATGCACAGAGTATACACATGAGGATACAACCACCACACACAGTTTCTGCTGCTATTTAGCCTGTTCTATATGCAGATTTTGCACTGGTAACAAGACCAGCCCCAGGTCTTGCAGGTATCTAGCAGTACAGCTCCTATGAAGTATACAGTTACACAGGAATAAAGATGCATTAGACTGGAACAGACCACCCTTCCTCCCACCATGGGAAGTCACAGGTAAGCACACACCTGCATAGGAAGGGGGTTGTGCAACTTTTACAAACAGGCAAGACCTTGCTGAACTAAAACTCTTCCTCAGATAGTAACTTAGGGACAAACTGTTGTCAGTAGGATGATACCAACTGAAAGAAAAATTCCCATGTTGGCAAACAGTTGGAAGTAAAGAGATCACTTGTCTGCTTGTGGGTAGTAACTCTCAAGTGCGCATGGGAGGGCCCAAAAGAAAACGGACCCTACCAGTGCCACTGGGTAGTACCTATTTCGCGCCTCAAGCAGATATTTCAATTTGGAATATAGTGGTTATTCAAAAACACTCAGAAACTTGGGCAGAAAATCTCAGAGGGACTCCCAGAACAGAGCAAAGGTGGTCAAAGATACCCATACACGCGTTACCACTACATGGCAGGAACATCTGCTCCTGCCTGTCTTCTCTTTAGAGAAGCTGTTAGACAGCAGAGGTGTGGAGGAAGATGTATGCTCTTAATATATTCAGAAATTACTGTTGTCTGGACTCTCAATCCACCATCCTGCTCCTGTAATGTATGGACCACTGAAGATCTACAGAAACTGGCGCATTTTTCTCTCCCATTGCCTCCTCTCTGCCAGCTCCTTTATTAACATGGCTGTGCCACATACGGAGCAAGACACACACTGACTCTCCCAGCACTCCGCTCCCTCCCAGGCCCTGTCTCCCACCAGCCCCTCGAGTCGCAGAACTTTGGGACACCACAGCAACAGCCTGGCAGCTGGTTTCTCCACCTGCAACACAAAGCCAGGCCCTTCAAGGAGACAGTGCAGTAAAGCCTGCTCTCACCTCTGGTGGAGTTGTACTCTTGGAATAATACTGACATCGTCCTGCATACAGCGGCCTCAGATCCTGCCAAAGAAAAAGGACTAGACTTAGCATTGCATTAAAATCAAAACCGGAAATGGCAAGCATGCTGCCGGCTAGCTGGTCTGGGCAGACGGGCCCTGCTCTCGCATCAGGACCTGAATGCAGTAGCTTTTCAGTAACCTGGCAGCCTCCCCCGGCCCCAGATCATTTTTAACTCTGATCTTTTGAAGCATGTGTGTGTTGAAGTTAACATGGGAGCAAGAGGCTCTTGAGCTGGCCTCCTCTGGGTGAGGGCACAGCCACTCTGAACTGAATTATTCTTTCCTCATTTCCCCAGACACATCCCAGGGCTGCCCAACATGTTCCTGGGGATTCTTCGTACTGACTCATAACAAGCTGACACTAAATTGTTGGCAAATTTGTCTTTCTGGGCTCCTGAGGGAATTGTGGGAAAGCTCTGGGGGAAGATCAGTGGCTCAGGCTGCAAACAACGTGCATTGAAGTCTCACTTAGGGGCAGCCTGTACCCCAGGCCAAAACCTCAGAGAAAGCAATACTAAATTGTATTAGGGTCAGCGAGGACGGTGGTAGCTGCCCTCCTCCTGTGCACGCTTGTTAATGCTCCACGGAGACAAACCTTTGCTCAAGGCCCTTCCTGTGAGCAGTCAGACTTGCTCTCTGGGCGTCTGATCCAAAGTTTATGGTGGCAAGCCACGGCAGCAGCAGGCGAAAGGGAACACTATGTGCTTGTGTGGCAGGAGCACATCTCTAGCGAGACGATGACATTCTTGGACGGTTAGCAGGTGAAGTGAGGCCAAAAGCATGTTCATTAATCCAGAGGCAGAAACCAGAGCCCTCGTCATTCCAACTGCACAGCTCTCGCTGCCGCAGACACACAAACATCCCTGTGGCTGGCAGGGAGGAAGTGCCAATTCACACCGCTACCCAGCCCACGAGGTCAGCATCCATAATCACGGAGCAACTCTGCGGGGCTCATACTCATGGGGCCAGGATCAGCCAGGAGTCAAAAAGAGCTTCACATTTTTATCAGGGCTAATGCTTCACACGCCCTTGAAACAGGGGTCAGAGATGGCCAAGACCTGCTCGTCACAATCAGACAGACAGCGACCTATCACGCAGCTGAGCGGAGCTGCCCTCTGCTCTGTCAGCAAATCCTGCCGTCAAGTCATCTTTCTACCATTTGGACACTTAGCGGCAGGAAACAGAAGTCTGCTTTACAAGGAAGAATAAAGAGCCAGCTGACACGTGGAATTTCCATGTCATGGGTAATTCTCACCTTCCAAAATTCCTTTCCGTTCTGTCTGCAAATGAACCCCAAATCTATTTTTTAATACCATTTCACCAAAAATTCAAAAAACAATGGGAACCAAACAGCAGAGATGTGGAAGATTAAAAAAAAAAAAAGTCTGTTTACAGTTATACATTTCAATTTAAAACTTGAAACGGAATTGTGATTTTTTTCACTTTTATAGCAATATTTTGAGATGTTTGCATGTCCCACCGTACTTGTGATTGGTCAACACAGCAGTAGCTCATGTATTTTTAAGTCATTGAATGGAAATTTAGAACCGGCTGGAAGTGTTTCCTGCTTAGTCTAACACTTCAGTGAGCTTCATATCAGAATGCTTCATTCTACTACAGCATACAGTAGTTCAATTAGTACTAAGAACTGCTTCTACTAAAAATAGGATGAATGTTACTGCTTGCACACTGTCACTTTGCAATACTCATAATTCACATTATACCTTGTACTTTTGAGACTTGCATAAAACAGTACACAAAAACACTAAAGCAAGGTGTTAAGATCTTAGTGCTTACTGCTCATTCCAAAATATTTTTGTAAACCTGATACGTTTCCCTGAACTTTTTGATTGAAGACAGCATTCAGCACATGACATATATTTACAAAGTTTGATGCGGTCTGATGTGGAACGTAGACACAACATTTGTCTTCCTTGAGTAAAAGCATTGCAGGACCCTTGTTCTCCTGGGAGCACTTACTATGTGTCTGGCAGCAAAGACACCATCTACTATGGCACAGCAGAACGCAGCAATGACGCCAAAGCTGATGAAGACGATCGATGCAACCAGCTGAGAAAGGAAAACAAAGCAGAGCATCATCTGCCTCTCCACAACCAAGTGTTTCATGCCCTTTCCACAAGGATTTATAAACCACAGTCGATAAGCCCTCAAGCAATCAATGGCCCAAATGTTTGCCCAGGCTGCACAGAGTCGTCTCATTGAAATCAATGGGATGCGTGTCTCCAAGGAAAGTCTGTCCTTAAGGGGAGGTAGAGGCATTGCAGCAGGAGTAGCAGCATCTCGCCAGACAGGTTCTCTGGGGAACTGATACTGTAACGTAAGTTCATCCATGAGTCCCAGGTGCTAAGCTTAGGCTGAGGATATACTGGCTGCTGCTGTCTTTAACTCTTCCCTGGAGAGAAAGGCGGAGTTTTCTTCTCCCTCCACCCCAGAGAGCTGCCATGAGAGCTGCTCACTATTTCAGCCCACAAACCATATTAGCTTCTGCTGAAGCCAGCATGGGCCACAAGATCTCAGTGACTGTTAGGGCTGAGCTCTAGCACAGCGATGGACTGAGGGTAGTAACTTCTTCAGGTGGCAGGAAAAGAGGTGGGTGCACAGCCTGCGTACCATAGGAGGGCTTTGCCCCAGCAGCCAAATACGGATTTACAGAGTTGCCTCTCACGTTTTATTCCTATGACAAGAGAACTAAAATGTGCTGCCTCTTGTTCCTGAATGCATTCACCACCCTACCTAGTCTATAGGTCAACTATAATGCTGTAAGAACACAGGACCTTTTTGCATGGGAACCTCTGCGGTGGGGCTGGGCATTCAGGAAAGCAGGCATATGCACAAAAACATGAGGCAGCCTACAGCCTCACTGCAGCCCAGCGAGGCTCCTCTGTGCCACTTAACCAGAGCCAGGCCCTGAAGGGATGCTGCAGCGACAGCCCATGGGGCCTCCCAGCTTGGAGGCGTCGCAAGAATAGAGCTCCTCTTCTTCATCTCAAGGAGGGAAGTCAGACATGCCTCATCCTCCTTTGCTAACCCCATCCCGCCAGTTTTTAAAATGAGGACTAAAGCAGTCAGGAAATAAACCAACAACGCTCAACCTGCAACCCAGACCAGCAAAATGAGAAGTCTCCACTCCCGCTACCCTGCTTTAAAACCCCCTGCTGCATAAGCGCCTTCAGTTGGGAGCAATCACATACAAATGCTGATGTGACCTCTCCTTGTTCCCGTGTTGCAGCTCAGCCTCTGCCAAAACGCTACAGAGCGCCTCTCCACATGCGCAGAGCTCATGATGCTGATCACCACCTTGCCAAAACACCGCCAAGGATATTAACAGGCCTGCGGAGGGAAGGCAAGCACAGCATTCAAATCCGACTCGCTTCCAGTGTCTGCAAGGCCTCCTTGGCACCAGCCACTGCGGTGTCACATCTCGTGTTGTGCTAGGAATGAGTCCCCTCTACCCAACGTCGGAGTTATGTCACGGGTCCTAAATATCAGGGGTTTGTCTAAACTGAACGGAAGGGAGACACTGAACAGAGAGACCAAAAGAAGGGGGTCACCGAGGGGTGAGAGGATTAGTTCGTCTGTACTTAACTTTGGCCATCCAGACAACACAGCCCCGCAGACAGGGTCCCAAACAAAGACATAGCTTGGGGAACAGCAGCATTTCCCTTTACAGAGTTGAAAGCTTTAGTGGGTTTTTCCCCCGTGGTTTTTCACTCTAGCGATGCACCTCCAATTGCTGATCTCTGGCAGCCGTTCAGAACAGCTTCTCCACAAACACAAAGGTGATTTTGGTTTAAACAAACAAACAAACAAAACTTTGAGCAACAGTAAAAAACAACAACATAAACACAAAAATAACACCTAGCCCAGCCAGCACGCTGACAGGTACCTTGGGTCTTCTGGCATGGTGCGTATTTGTTATAGAGATCCAGGTGCTGAAGGTACGGGACCACTTCAAAATCTCAGTCCCTTTCACTACACAAGGATCTAGTCCTCAGGAAGATAAGCCAAAATCTTTGATAACACAAGCCAGAAAGGACCCTAACTGCATTTTTAAAGTATCTTAGCATTTGTAAGTTAACCACACCATTTTCACCCAAACTCCCTCCGTGAGAAGGGTGCTTACCAAGAGCTGACGTCATTGTCTTCACCCCCCCCTTGCTGCAGACCCCCTGGCCAGCCGTGTGCTCGCAGGCAGGGGCTCGGCAGGTCCCTGCCCATTCAGGCTCCTGCCTGCCAACATGATCCTGAAAAAAACAGGTTATTTCTCTATCTGAAACACCCTTTTTCTCTCCCACTGGCAGAAGTGGTTCTCAGGGAGAGCAGAAAACCCCCAAAGGCCCTAGAGAAGGCAGGAGTGAAGCAGGGCTTTCTTTCTCGCTCTCTGCAGATGATGTGAAACAGGCACAGGAGGTTGTCTCCCGGGGGCATGAATCAACCACAGCAACTGCGGAAGCAGCACTGCGGGGAGCTTGGACACATTTGCATCCATCCTGTCCACACAAAAGCAGGCCCAGGGCCAGAATTTGTCCGTCTGCTAGACCGATATTACCAAATAACAGCTCGCACCATAACCAGCGCCCGCGTAAGGCGTCTGTTGGAACTGGAAGAAAGGCAGCGAGACAATGCAAACGGCTGCAGTGGAGAGATCCGCGAGAGACAGCGAGCGGGCAGCTAGCCACAGACCCAGCCACTCGGGCCCCCCCGCGGGGGACTCTGCCGGCGGCGCTCACAAAGGCGAGGGCAGGCAGCCGTCACCCCTCGGCCCCCAGGACGCAGCCCTGCTCCGGGGAGCCGCTGCCCGCAAGCAGAGTAATGAGCACGCCCCGCCAGATGCCTTGCTGTTAGCCAGACTTGTAAGTGGAGCAGCTTGTGCAAGGCCAGCACCAAAACCTGTATGACAGGAGACTGGCAGAGCTGGGACCCGCAGCTGACTCCTGGAGTGTGCTACCACACATTTGAATGATGCAAGGTCAGAGAGGGAAATTTAAGAGAAAACAGGAGGCTAATGAGGCAGAGAGGGGGTGAGATGGAATAAGGGCATAAGAGGGGAAGAGGAGCCAAAGAAACTGAACAAGGGGGCTCAAGTGAGCGCAGGGGACCGAGGAAACGCTTGCTTGTGTTTCTCCTCCCACAAATACATCAGAGAGGCCTAAAAGATGCTTCATACGGTTCCCCCAGGGCAGCCAGGAGGTGGGCTCTGGTGGCGGAAGGGAGGCGTCCGTGGCACTGGGAAGGATCAGGGCAAAACCTCAAACTCATCAGAGGGGGAAGGAGACGTTTCTGCATCCCGCAGTTAGGGCCTGAGGAACCAGGGACAGCCCCTGCCATCCTCCAGCAACGTCCACGTACAGATCAGGCCAACTCAAGCAGCAAGAGCGAAGGTGCAGGAGGGCTCGCTTGGGGCAATGGGACAGTTCCTGCACAATCGCTCAATTCCATTAGTTTCAAAAAGGGAGAAAATAAAGTAGTTTTCTACATGAAGCAAAATATCCAAGACTTACACTGCCCCACTGCAAATAAAGACCGCAGCAGCAGTTAGAGCAGATTGTAAAATTAATCCCATTAGCATACAAACAAGTTACTGTCACTAGCAACAAGCTGCTATTGCGGAGCGTCAGGTCCTGCGCTGGGAACCTGCTGTTTCCGTTAGCTGCCAACACCAGCCTTTCCTCCCCACTCAGACCCAGTGCACGCCCAGGTCTGGAACACAAACACAAATCAATTTTAACAGTTACACCGATTCACTACTATAGCCAGTGAAACCACAAAACGCGAGAAAGCTTCTCCTCAGCTTCTTACAGTCTCCACAGCTTCTTACAGTCTCTGTGGAAGGGATGGTTTTTATGGCCTAGGTTATTCTGTACAAACTGCAGCTTTTCTCTCTACTTCCCTTTGTGTCATACATGCATGAAAGAGGATATTCTCCCTCCATAGCATGATTCCTGGAGGGGGGAAGCGAGCCAAAAACCCAGCAGAGACAACAGGTTTTTTTTGCTTACCCCCTTGCAGACAGGAGCCGCTGAAACGATCCTTTAAAAAGCTACAGAGTTAATGATGATACTTTCGTAACAGCTCCACCTGCACTAGGATCTAAGGATGTGGTGTTGGAAACCGGCTTGCCAACTTTACATAAACGAAATTTTCTCACTCTCAGCTGGAGAAAAAGCAGCCTGAAAACCAAATACTGAAAATTTATGAGACAGTGAAGAAAACCAGAAGGCAAATTAAAACATACAAATGCACGTTAAAAATCGCATGTTTTCCAACTAATCTCATTATTTGTCAACATGAATTTTGCCTTGGAGTCGACAATACTGTTGTTACAAGCACAAGTCCCTTTTAAGAGCCATGTAACATTAGCTATCTGTCTTAACGCACGTAATTCCCACCAAAACCAGTTACTCAGCGCAGAATTCAGACGAGGAAAGACAAACTGGTTTTGGATAACGTAGGAGCCATAAAACAGGAGCGTTCTGCGCAGAAGTTCCCTTTGGGCCGCGCTCCAGCAAGACATGGGCCATGAAGCTGTCGGTAATCACTTTTCCATGGCAGGGATGACTGTTACGAAGCCATGTAAAGTGCTGACTTGTCATGCAAAACCTGCTGCCCACGTAGCTGCCGCACGAAGCAGACCTGCCTGCGAGGCTGGCGGGCAGCCCGGCTGTGCCTGCGCGGGCGGCCAGCCGCCTGCCGAGGAAGCAGCTCTGCTGCGCGCCCTCCCTTGCTTGGACAAGCGGGAAGCGCAGACACATGGCACGGAAGGCAATGCGCTGCGGTGGGAAAAACCAGAGAGGTCTGTTTCTGCCAGCAGACTGGAGAGAATTAAGGGGTGCCGGTTCAGGTTAGTTCGCCCTTTAGCCAAACTGGCTCAGTCGATTCCTCACGATCCCCAGCCAGCTTACGGGGAAAACGCACGCGAGAGCACAGCTGCGCAAGCTGCGTTTAGCTCTTCCTGCCACCGCTACGGGGTGACTGAGTAATAAGCAACACCCAGACTGACTTTTACTAAACTAGCACCCCGGGAAGCTCACAGAAACAAAAAAAGAATCCTGCACTGCTCGCCGTATTACAGAAACATGTAACGGGGAAAAAATGCCATTGTAAAACTGAGTGCTCCCGGGTAAGAAGGAGACATGACTAAAGTCGGGGGACAACGAGTGACGGCTATTCGATGCCGTCTCCGTCGATGCCGCCAGCCTGCAAACCTAGAAGGCCCTGATGCAATCTGCGCAAAGCTGGTCATGCATACTTTGCAGGAAGGGGCACAAAATGATTCAGAGATGAAAAGAATAAACTCTGGTTACCCAGGGCTTTTTGGAAAACAAACAAACAAGTCAAGTCCAAGTCACGCTGCCATTTATGGGCGGTCCTGTGAAGAACGCAGGACTCTGATATGCTGCTAATACCTGATGAGCTAGAGGCCTGGAAATTCTGTTAAGACAGAAGAAATGGGACACGCTGCTCTTGCACAGCCAGAGAGGAAAAAAAGGAGAGGAAAAAAAAAAAACAAAAACAGGAAACGCACCTACCCGCGGCCCTGTCTGACCATGGGAAGGGAAGTCTTCCTCTCCACCGGGTCTGCCTCACCTGCTCCCCCCTGCCATTGCTCTGCTCTGCAGGCAGCACATTATTTGAAAAGCAAAGAGCAGAGCAGCACAGCACTGCCCAGCCTCTGGCTTAGCAGAGGCAGGAATTTCTCTAGACTACCTCTGCAGCTCGGCCAAGTTGCCTGAGCCTCGGTTGGCAGCACACCCTGCTATTTGATCCCTGAGCCTCTCCACGAAGGCAGCTCCATCACTGCAAAAGCATGCAGCAGTGCTGGGCGAGCTCGACAGGCTGCAGGGACAGGCAGCTGCAGTACAGAGCCCGCCCCCCCAGCAACCTTCACACCAGGAAGGCTCGAAAGATCTCAGCGCCAAAGGATGAGGCAGCCACTGGGGAGGAAGACGGCAGCCGCTGTTGGAGGGTTAGTCACGCTGAGACAGGAGCCAGGCATGTCCATCCGGCTCTCCAGGAGCGGGACTGCACATCTGCACACACTACCTCCGGCCAGCCGCATGCACCGAGCAGAGAAGACAGGCTAGAAAAAGCCTGAGCTTGACAGCCTGCGGTGACTGCCCCAGGCTGCTGTTAGCTTCGCCAGCTACCAGCTTCCTTTGATCTCTCTCCATCTACCCCTGTTTTTTTTTAACTAGTTTTCCCCAAAAGACTTCCCCCATGCTGAGCCCTGTAATCGACACCTCCAAGCACTACAACTGCTAAGTTCAGGCAGGGACAGGAAGAGGAGGGTTTGTGAAATAGCATCTGCAAGATGTGTCTGGGGTCATCAGAGACCCAGCCGAGTCCACACATCTCCTGTGCTTGCCAGGAGAGTGTAACCTGGGCCAGCCCTGTCCCTCACACCTCAGCACAAGCTCAGTTATATCAAGTCAGCAGTGCTGGTCTCATCTGTTTTCTGTGTTAGCATGCATCCCCTGCCCACTTGCTCCTCTCCTGAGCCCTGCTGGTCACAAGCCAGCGCCAGCTCCACAGGAGAGCCGCGCGTGAGCCCACACAGAGCTGCCCAGACAGCGGCTGCCTGGCCCCATCAGGTGAAACCCTCTTCACAGGCTGAGGAGAGAACCAGAGGCAGGGGCAGAGATGTCCACAGGTAGTGGCGACAAAGCCATAGGTGTTGCATGGGCTGTGTGGAGCTGTTCATGCGGTGGCCCCAGGGCCCTCTCCTGGTGAGGAGCAGGGTCCAGCCAAGGCCACGGCAGGTCACGCACAGACCGCCCACGGTACGCGTTGGCAACTCCTTCCAAATACGAGCTGTTACCTGTAACTGGCACAGAAGCAGAAGCATGCTGGGAGGAGGCTGAGCGCAGAGACGCTGGTGAATACACAGGCAGCCCTCAAAGCCACAACACTGAAGCAACAAGACGTTTCTTTGCCCCAGGGCTGCTGTGAGAGTTACGATATGCGTTATCTTGTCTAGCCAGCATCTTCTATGCTTTTCACATTCACAATTGCTGCGTTACAGCATGCAAAGTCTCTAGGTCTTGCTTCCCATTTCAAGAGGTGCTTGGAAACGAGGACCAGGAACATACATGCTTATCAGCAGTGCTGGGGAAGTTGGCTGCTTTTAGTTATATCATACCTCACCTTTTTCATCATGTCAATACTTCAGTGACTTATTCTCTAGACTAGACACCTAAAGCAGAGACTTCTTTAAGTACACATATCCCCACAAGGGGCTTTCTGCTGGGCCCTGCATGGCTTTCACCTCCACTCCGTGGGACTGGCTTTTACATCACCTGCTTGATCTTCTTTTCTATCCTTCAAACAGAAAGTAGCCGAAAGCAATTTTTGCAAAGCCCCAGACTGCCAGGGATTTATTTAAAAGGATTTAAAATAAATATATTTATCTCACTTGACATATTATGCATCACACACTGTAATAGCTCTGCGGAAAAGAACTGGGCATGAGTCTATGAAGTGCTGAGTCCCCTGAGAATCCCAAACACTCAATGTTGAACCCCTGAAAAATCCCATCGAGTTCAATGAGACTGTGTATAGTCACTTTGTGCCTCCATGAGTGTTAAAAATTTTAAAACTTAAAAATGTCAAGGTTAACAACTTTGTTCTCCTTAGGCTGCCAGGGACCATCTCTAGTTCTCAAGAAATATACAACATCAGCCTGGAAGGATTAGGAAAAGGAACAACGCTCTTTCTTTCTAAACAAAATTTCTTTGAGTTACGGTCAAATTTTTTGAAAAAAGTCTACAAAGTTAATGAACTTACCATTTGCCTTTTGTTTTCTATCAAGTTTGATCCAATTATTCCAAGAAATGACCCAAAACCAAGCTGGAAAATAACATATTGTTAGCATTTAAATTAGGAAGATATCCAACACATTTCACATGCAGACAGAACACAATTAAATCCAGAAGCAGCAAAAGCACATACTGTGAATGTGTGAGCACTCTTCCTTCAGCAAGGGAATCAGTGGAGTCTCTCACTAGCTAGAACTAGTCAAGTGTTTCACTTATATGACACTAAAAGCATGTGTAAAAACCAAAAGGATGAACTTGAATTCACCTCCCTCCCCATTAATGCTGAGAAATGGGTGGTGGATGAAAATATGTGTTGCTCTTTTAGAATAACCCCATAAACGTTCAGAAGCCTCCGGATGTGAACTTAGCAGGACCATACCACTACTGTTTGCAGGACCAGCCACTGGCGACCACACCAAAGGCGCGAGCAACCACTGACGTGTTTGACTCAACAGAAAATTTCTTAATGGGGAAAGATTTAGCAATCGCTTGCTTCTTGCACTCCCCCCTCATTTGCAGGGAGGGAAAGTCCTATGCACCAAGGTCTTCTACCAGAAGAGCTCACGCCAGTCCAGTGAACAGAATGAGCTAGTCCAGCAAAAGCATCTTTCCTTGCTGCTGTAACTCACAACTTTGTTTTTATTTGGCTCAGTGAAGTCAGTTAGGAGTGCAATTTCCCATCCCCTGTCTCCGCAGTCTTAAACTATTTAGCTATACTGGAGATGTTTCCAGGACAGAGTAGATCTCGGTCAGGCGAGAAACAAGAATTTTAAACCAGGAACCGTAGACCACAAGGGAAGTTCTAGAAGCACTTCTGTAACTGCTGCAACTAGAAAGGTCTTTGCTCAGCGTATAGCATATGCAGCTCCGCTTCTATAGGTCAGCAAACTGAGAAATGCTGGAAAAGTCCTACAATTGCCGTTGTTCACATTAAGCAGCCTATGCATCTATTCGATAAACTAGGGGAGGTGGTGAAGATCCAGGTGAGGATGCTAAACAACCGGCCACTTCTAAAGAAGCAGAATTAGGCAGGAAACAAGCTGCAGTGATTCAAGAATGGGCCAGCTAACCTGGAATTGATGTTGTAAGACCCAGGAACGGAAAACAAAAGTTTAACAAATCCAATATTAACAAGCAGAAACATGCACAGAGATTAGCAGACACAGACACGGTGAGAAGTTGGACTTAAATCTTCTCCCACTCTGCTTAGCTCTGTGCTATTTGGTGCTAGTGCCAAAGGTGGTAATGGGTGTAGACTCAAACAGCACAGGATCAAAGCAGAGCAGGCAATCGGGCTACTGGTTCCCAGCTGCCTGCCTTATGCTCCCTCTCAGACAATTGCTGTCCCCACATCAGGGACTGTTCAAATACCATGGCATGTAGCGTAGCAATGAAGCCAGGCACTGCTCAACATCGTGGCAGCAGGCAGACGGGGCAGAGAGCTGGGGGCACTGCTGAACTGTCCCAAATTAATCTGTCAATGCTTCTGGGCTAGACCCTTAGTAATACAGCTAGTCTTCTACTATTATTCTTTTGCTCAGCTTGGGCAAGCAACAACCCCTACCTTCCCCATGTTACGGGAGTTTTACAGATCAAAACCTGGGAGACCCAGGCATTAACGGCAACATGGGATCCAGATACTATTTTAAGTCCGGTAGTGTTTAGCAGCAGGAAAGTTGTTTGGCAACACACACACACCTAAGGCAAATGCTGAAGAAAACCATTTTGGTGCCCTCTGAGCTTGATCCAACGCGTTTAGAGAAACTTCCATGTGGTAGTTCACAGAAGAACAAACCAAAAGGTGAAAGACTGAGATAATTCAAGGTAAAAGAAGAAAGCAGAGTGAGGCTATACATCCAACGGGCAAAGACCGAATAAATCAGTGGAGTCATCCTGCATTAAAGGGAAAAACATGGTTCTTCCACTGATGGGACCAAGGGACCTTTGTTATCTGCACTGCTTGTATCACTGTTATCTGCTGGCAGAGATGATCCCCCGAGATGTCCCTCTCGAAGGAGGAGAGGATACAAATGAATGTGCTTTTCCACAGTAAAGCCTCAGGCTGATACACTTAGTAAGAAATCATTACAGAAGAGCTTTGCCAGCCAAAGCCAAAGAAAGGTCAGTCATTCGTACCGAAGCTGGAAGCTGAACCTGGGGGCAGCACGTGCGTCTCAGGAACGGCCTTTCACAAGATAACGCAGAAGAGACTTCCCAGTGAGCCTTCTTCTGCCTGTGGCCTCCAGAGAGACCTAGTCCTATATCTGAATCTGGCTGTATTGTACAGAGCTGCACAAAATTTGGTAGCCTCTACAGCTGCTGGAAGCTCTACTTCCATTATACACAGCAAGAAAGAGTTCTTGGAGCTCAAAGCCGTGACGAGAAGTCTTGAAGAATGTTTTTCTTAAAGGCTCACAACAAAAGGAAAGAACTTGTAAGCTATGACTTAAAAAGAAGCAGAATTTTTAAACTAGCCTCTCAGTCTGTGAGCCTCACTCCCATAGAGGTGTTTGACCTCTGCGCCCAACTGTTACTTTTGCCTGCGAAGCATCACCATTGCAGCCTGCGCTTCTCTGGCCGTAAGTAAGGCCATATGTATGTTGTTTCTTGTGGAGGCACAGCTTAGGTGCCTACAGAAGTAGTTGTGAAGGTGTCGGCCAGCAGTGAAGGAAGGGGGTGAAGGCCTCCCTTCTCTGTCTGTAAAACAAACAAATAAAGACCCATTGGTCTTGGAGACCTTCCACACATCAATTCTAAATTACATTGCTAAATCCTTTCTGTCCATCCTCAGCAACATCCTGGGAAGATGATCCCCAACATCAGATAACTATTTCTATGCATGTTTCCTTCTTGCGTGCTGTTGCTCAGAGGTGTTTCCCCAAGGCATGCAAGTTGGAGGAAGAAAGAACAGTGCATTAGGCATGGCAGCTATGAAACATCCTGGGGCCCAGTGCGGATCTGCTGTTTCCTCCCAGAGGAGCCCATTCCAGCTGGGTGTGTGACAGTGACAGCACCTATATAGGGAGGCATCTCAGGTAGGCTAGCCTGCACATAATCCAGACCGCTACAAAAGATCGATTACCACCCCTTTACAGCTTTGGGTACTGATCTGTAGAGAGCCTACCCCTTTGTTTACTCAAAACACTTTTGAGACCCTCGGCTGAGAGGCACTAAGCTAACTGAAGGGCTGAGCAGGTCTCTTACTGGGTAATACTGGTGTGGCTTCAGGGCAATTACTGAACTTCCTAGAGAATCACATGAAAATAATATTCCCCCCGGAGAATGCGAACTAGGTAGAGTTTTATAACATCCTACAGCAGCTAGCAGGCAGAATGGGAGAACAAGAGTACAACTCCCTCCTAACAAGAACAACTGAAACTCTAAGAGACTATCCTGTTCCGTGAGTCTGGTCCACGCAAGGAGAACTCACCCAGTATATGAAGAGACTTTTGGCTCTATCTTTTCCTTACTAATGCAGGCTATTAAGAGTAACACACCACTAACGGTGCAAAGAAATCACTGGTGGCCAACATTCATGCAAACTTTTAGGTGACAATACCTGCATGGAGTTGCTTCTTCAGGGCTGTGGAAGTCACCTGCTCAGGCACAACTCACTGAGTACTCGTGCCTCACAGCAGGCCCTTTTTCCACAGCAAAGGGAGAGATTCCAGCTTGTTACGAAACGCTAGCTATTTTAAGTACCAGCTGAAGCATCCAGCAGCAGACTTGAAATGTTTTCCCGTGCGGGGAGGCAGGTGAGGTCATCACAGATTTCCACCCAGCAGACTAACTAACCGAGAGAGGGAATTTGGTGATAAGCCTACCATCGCAAATAGTCAAGTTGCCTCTGAACAAAGCAAGTAAATCAACACCACTCCTGAGTCCACAAAATCATGAACTCCTTGAGCAGATTCTGCGGCTTACAAAACTGTAAGCAATGCTGACATTCTCAGAGTATAAATAGCGAGGGAGACATCAAGAGGATGTGAACAACAGGCTCTGCCCATCTGCATCAGTCTGTAGGATCTGCTCTGAAGCACGAGGTTCAACCCAGCTTAACGAGGCAGAGAGCAAGTACTGAGAGTTTGAAGCCAGCACGTCACCCTTCTCAACATCTTCCTTCTATATTTCTCTTAAAAAAACAAAAAGCAAACAAACAAACAAAAAAGCCTAAATGCAGGAGCTACTGTGACAAGCCAGAAAAGCAATCCTCTGGCCACAGATGAAACAGTTTGTAATGGTGTTTCCAAACTAATGGCTGCAAAGGGCCTGTCTTCAGTCACAGAAGAGCTTGTCCACAGACAATTATAAACCTCCTTGAGATGAGCAATCCATGGTAAATAAAACGGACAACTGTAAGAGAGGAAAACCTTCCATCTAGTGACTTAGACTGGCTTTAAACCTCCAACGGCCAGGCTCCAAACCTAAATGCACAATACTCCACGGCTGTTACACCAGGAGCCTCTATCCTGCAGGCTGCAGTTACACCCAACCTGCTAAGACAGCTAACCTGGCCTGCAGCTTAGTCCTTGTTGTGGTCCCTTCTGAGGACTCCTCAGACCAGGACTTGCCTTCCAGCTTGCGTTAGACCTCTGCTAATGGAGAAGCACAGCAGTGCGCACGTGCAGAAGGGTTGGTTCTGGGCTGGGGGAAAGGCATGATGTACTTTCCTCAAGTGCTTCTGCAGAAGGTTGCATGTCCAATGGCAGGAAGGCTGGGCATCAGTTGTCGCCTCTAAATTAAGTCATTTGAAGCTATAAGATCTTCCTTTCCCATTTTCACTTGTTAATAAAAACTGATTGATCTGCCAGCAGCTTTGATATGCAGTATCCTCCAGCAAGTTGCCAAAGCTTTTATTAATGTGGTCCTCCTCATGCAGAGGCCCCAAATCATTAAAGATTTCTGTAAGTAAACTTTATGACCACAAATTCATATGGGCTGTATTTCAAGACCTTCCCAGCTGTTCCCAGCTGTTCTTGGCACCTATGGTCCTCCTTCTCCTTACGTCTATGTAGACTTAGTTTGATTTGTGGAAAAAAAAGAAGTTCTAAGGTTGTTTGGGATGACAGACATAAAACCTGTTTATCTGTCTCACTGCTAGCATGACCCCAACTCAGAGGAAACTGCCACTTAACTGAATGGGATTTTTGCATGGGAATGAACAGCAGGTGCAAAATAATAATAAATCAAATCAAATGGCAATGAGGTAGCCGAGCAGATGTTAATATTCAGGACACGATCACCCTTTATAACATTTGCAGCATTACAAGGGACTTTGAAGGCAATTAAGTTTTCTAGACCTACCTAGGAGTTCTATACTTACAATAACCCCTGGGTAATAACCTCCAACAGTCACATTTTGGGTTCTTGTTGTAGCAGCTAGGCCCACCGTTAGAATTAATACTGACACAATGAGGAGAGTCACAGTTACGTAGAGGGAATTTCTCTTTCTTCTATTGAACGACCCTAAAAACACACATACACAACAGAATTTGCTAATTCCATCTGGGGTCAGTCACGGTGTCACAAAATTCTTCTCCCACCGCCAACCACATCACGTTGAATGTCCTTCCTTGTAACGTGAGAACATTTTTGTGTTTGGCTGCCACTTCTCACCTTCACTTATATGCTTTATCAACCACTGTTAGGGCATCTTAATTCAAATTTATTCATCATTGCTCTGCTATGGAAGAAGAGAGCCTCGAGTACTGTAAATCTGCAAAGCTCGTTTGGTTACAAAGGGGCCTCCCCGTCCCCTCCTGTCTGGGAGGATTAAGCCAATAAGAAATATTACCTAGGCACTTACTACTTTTCTGATCTGTTAGCTTACATCAAGCTAAACAGCCACACTACACCCCACTCGTTTTGAGGGGGAAATCTTGGCTGCAACTATATCATAAAGGCATCCACAATTTTCTGTGTAAGTAAGACTCCACCACTAACATCCATCACTAACGTCCATTTCTCCTCCTATGGTATCAACCTCTACTTACAGCAAGGACCAAGTATTTTTAGATGCTGTTTGAATAATGAATTTGTGGGTTAGTGAAGCTGACATACAGCTGCCTGATTCTAGCTTTCTTCCTTTATATATTTATAGATCTCCCAAATGAGCATAAATATAAAGCAGCACTTCATCAGCCCAGAAGGAAAGCTGGCTGTGATGTTACACTTAGCAATATCCTTAGGGGTGTTCGTTCAGTGCATGTTTTGCAATCTTTAGATCACTTTGTGGAACAATCCTTTTGATTTTATTTCATGCATTATGTAAACACAGCCCAACACAAGCAAGTGCAGCTGGTAGGACAACAGACTGGAAGGGCCCCCAGCCCGCTCCTGGGGCTGCGCGTGCTTCCTGTCAGCTGCTGGGGCTGCTCCGAATTCCAGCCCCACAGTCCGTGGTTCTCCAAAGCACCCAAACAGCAAAGGCGCTTCCCAGCCCAGAGGTTCCCAAGTGGTGCGCACACTACTAGGCTACTTCAAAGCAGTGCACAGCTGTGGCCCAACAGCAAAGAGCTGCTTCCACTGCTTTTTAGCACATTTCCTAAAGCAAACTATGTTTGGGAACCCCCATTTGAGGCTGACACTCTGTATGTGGCGAGATAAAACATCAGCACGAAGGAACTGCTAATTCTGCAAGGCAAACATGAAAGACTCAGTCAAGTCAAAGATAATCGCCTTCTCCAGATTTCCCCAAAAGAGGAATGTGTCAGGCCTTACTAGGCAACTTTCTGTCTTGAAGATGTACATCCCAGGTGCTCACAGGCCTTTCTTTAGGGTCTGCATACGTTTGCAGCAAAGCCATAGAGAGATCTTTTGTTTTCCACTGTAATAGCTACGCTGACACAATCATATGGATGCACACGGTGCAAATTATTTCCCTTCCTCTACAGGGACAGCTCTCCCAGGATAAAGCACAGCAGACGCTTCCTGCTTCTGCACCCGCTCCGATTCGCCAGCCGTGCTGCTCGCAGGAGCGCTCCCTTGCCATGCCGGTGAGGAACCGGGCTGGCACGGCTGCGATCAGCATGAGGCTGGGTCATTTGACCTGCACAAAGTGGAAGAGCTCGGAAACACAGACAGGTCCTAAGCCAACTTAAAACCCCAACAACCCAACACAAGGAGATAAAAGGCAAGAGAAAGTTTGTAGATAAAAATAACATCCCTTTTGACTGACCAGTCTCTTTGGAAGGAAAGCTCTCCACCTACAAACCTTTCGCTCATGTTCTTGAGCACAGCTGTAACTGCAGTTTTAGGACACTGCAAGATCTACGGGCAGAGAGTCTGCAACCGGTCAGTCAGTTCTTACTGGGAATCAGTAACTAGAGAGTTGCTAATTCCAAATAAATATTATTTGGAACAACTGCTAGAGTACCCTTAAAATCCAGGCTGTATCTTGCATCGGCACTCCTTAGTTCTTCACATCATTTTTTTGTTTTACAGGATGGAGGTGAACGTACCCAATTATTTACTGATAGTTAAGGTTGCATTTGGATTAATCCTTTTATTCTGCTAAATCTGCCAAATAAGTTAATAATAAAAAATATAGGCTTTTAAAGTACTTAAAATCCATCAAAACAACAGACCGTTCTACATGTATTACCTCCCAAACGCTACAGTATAGTTTGTGCAACGCTCCAGTTCAAATATAATCACTTAAATGCAAGTGTCACATAAATGTCCAAAAAAATAGTTCCAAAAAAAGTTCCAAAGCATCAGAACTTAACGTTTAGCTGAGCAAAATTCAAGAAATTGAGGGGAAAGGTTGGGACTTCTTACATAGATTAGTTTTAAAAAGAAAGACAGAAAGAGCAAGTCATACTTGCACACATGGCAGATTACCTAAATTCTGATTACTGGAGTAGTTTGGCTGGTAAATGAGCAGAGGATAAGTAAAAACAGCCATATGTTCCTTACACAGCTTGAATTCTTTATGGTTCGGCTGTGTGGGTGTGCAGATGTTTGTGTGCAATGTAAAGTAACCCTGCAGAACAAGTCTGAATGAGCGTACAGTATATAGGAGTGCCGAGTTCACACATACAAACTGTTATTTTTGCCTTTTCCATTAGAGGTGCTTCAAAAAAATGGAATGAAAAACTGCAAAAAAAAACATTTTTATCAAAATTGGAGTATTTCAGTAAAATGTAAATTTTGTAACAACATTTCTACAGGAAAATGCTTCAGAATAAGAAGCTTGAAGTGCTACTTATACATTTTGTACTTCTTTCAGAGCAATCAGGTTTTCCACATCTTATTTTCTACATTATTTCCTAGCTCCCAACTGACACAAATCAACATACAATTAAGAAGTGAAATAAAAGGTTTCCAAATAGAAAACTTATGAAAGCTTAATTTTGTGGTTAATCTTACAAAGAGTATTAAAAAATATTTTCACTCCAGGTCTGAACAAATCAAAAAATTAACGCAAAATGTGATTACCTCCACCTCATCTCCGCATCGAGACGCTACCTCCCTGATTGCCTTCTCTGAAAGCATGCTTTTTACGTGTATACTGAGAAAGTGGCTTCTGCACTTCTGTAAGGGAGCCTGCAGCTGTTTCAGCGTACGTCAGTATGTCCACTGATAACTGCTTTAAAAAACATTCTGGAGAGCTCCCCCGGCAAAGCCATTCATTTCGGCAGTAATTTTTGCCAAAAGCATTCCCCATTAACTCTGTAATTTTCCTCTTTGGTTTTGAATCTGGTACAGCTTTATACACAGAAGAAAAGCAAAGCGATGCTCTCGAGACTGTGTCGTAGCTTTTGCTATCTCTGCTTTCAAGAGATAGTAACAGCCTTTCTTCTGTGATTTATCCAAACGAGGTACCTCGAAAACTTGCAGGGCTTACCTCAAACCGAGTACACAAGGTGCTCTGAAGTGCTGCGTGTAATTTTGCGGGGAACATTTAAACATAGCACTGCTTTCTTTAATCAGGCCGTTTCTTTTACTAAAACGGCACATGAACTGTGTATGGGCTTCCCAAAGCCCATTATTATTTTAAGCCCGAGACCCTCCTCTCGTTACAGCTGCCGTAGACAACCCCAATCTAAAAACAAGGTCGTAGCATTTCTTCCCCCCCCCCCAGATTACTTCAGCAGTTTGAGATAACGAATACCTCTGTACTGCCCCAGATTTAATTAAATCTCATTCTGGTTATCAGGAGGAGACAGACAAGCGGGCACAGCAACAACACCGGCTTCTCCCTCGTGTCCTTCCCGGGGGGGGGAGCAAAAGCCCCAAGCGGAGAAGGGCGAAGCAAGCC